GATATATTTTAAGAAATGTTTGATTGCTAAGACTTTATTTCAAATAATATAATTTACAGTGTAATTTGGTTTTGGTCTTGTTTATTTATGTTCTGATCTTACCCATTTTTGACTCGTCTTATCTCCTGGCATGTTATTGGTTATCGGTTCTTAAAATAAGTTATGGTGCATCCCTAATTTTTACCCTTTTAAGAGTTGAAGTAGTCATGTTTTGATGAAATTCTGTGTGAATCTGAAGATCAAAGTTGTTTTAGGACAACAGCAGTTCACTTGAAGGGGTGTGTGTGTGGCTGGAGGGGAGCAGCTGACATCAGCTCATGAATGACGAGGTTCAAACACATTCACTGTCAAAGCTTCCGTCTTAAAACAAATGTAATCTTCAAACTCACACAGACGTTCACGAGAACCTCCAGTTTTATGTCAGATTTCTGGGTGACCTGGAAGTGCTACATTACACTATGATGAACACTTGTAAAATGTGATTCACAGGAGTCCTGTTAGTGCTGAACGTAAACTCTATTTCTCAAAACTCAGGTCACTAAAGAAGCCACAGGTAAGATATTTATTGTGACTTATTGAAGTCATTTACAGGAATAAATATTAGACCGTGGTTTGTTGGCTCATAATGTACTAATTTGTCAGTTTTTTGCAGTTTGGGGGATTTCAGAGACCGTTCTTACTGTGTAAATGAATTAGGTGGCTAATAGGCTAACAGCACAMACTGATCAATCTATTCTGCTCCATTTGAACATCTTATTCACCTAAACATGAAGAGTAAAACTGTAAAAYTGTGGTTATGAATATTAATGTCCATCTTGTTTTTGGTTAAAGCAACAAAGAGCTGAATGTGGCCGCGGAGCTTCAGACTGGTTTGTGGGATCAGAGACATCAGATTCCAGCAGGAACAAGTGCAGCAGCAGGAGGAGGGTTTGAAACCTGTCGGACTCAGKGTGGATGTACTTTAGGAGTCATGGAAAACAAAGGAAGCCTCACTGCCTGTTAGTCAGCTCAAGGTTGAACACTGATGTTTGTGCAGTGAAGGTGAAACTCAAACTTAGAGGAAGAAGTGACGAGCTCTTTGAAAACAGGCTCGTCTCTGAGGTTACAGCAGCAGTGAGACACCGCTCCTTTTACATGACAGCTGAATAAAATGAGTTCCTTATCAAAGAAAATGCACTAAAACATATTACACAAACATGGAAACTTGTTTTTTTTTCCCCTTCAAGTGGAGACAGATGGCACCAAAGAGGCTGATTTAAGCAAATCCTCTCCGTTCTTCAAACAGTCATTGGGAAGAAAGAAGGAGCGCATTTGAATGCATGTTCCATCGCATCCACACCGACATCCACCAGGAAAGACGAGGGCTGCCTGCAGAGCCAGGACGGAGCCCCCACCAGCGCCTGATCCAGACTCCATCCTTTGGTCCTGCCTCTTCAAGCCCCAACCCTGAAGGGGCTCTTTGATTTCTGGGTGGAAGATGATGTGAGCGTGGCTAATTGGCACCTTTCTACAGTTTCAAATGGTGCCACTTTCATCTGCGCAGCCTCTCGATTCAACATTTCCATGCCGTGTTAGATTTTCATCAAATATTTAGCATATCACAGAGGCAAAATACAACATGATTATTTCATTTGATGACTTGGCAAGGCAGTTTTCTGAGCACTCTTTAAACCGTTTCAGGTCACAGAGGAACATTCCTTCTCTGTCTGGTGATGGATTTTTGTTTTCTTTTACCTTTTTTTTATTTTTCAACGGTTTTATCTGAGCACAGCACACACATGCATGTCTACCTAGCACCTTTAATAAACTCAAGTGAGGACCAGTTCTCTCCGGTAATTATTGCTCGTTAAGGTCAGTCTCTTCCTGCCTTCTGGGTGGATCTGAGTCTGTGCCCACCAGATCCAGTTTAAACTAGAAGACATCACGCTACAACAAAAACTAAAATAATAAAAAAAGAGCCACAAAAACATTGCCACTGAATTGTTAAAAAAAAAGTGGCAATGCTCAATCTAAAGATCTTTTAAGGCAGTTTTACATCTACTCTTTTCTAGGATCCACCTTAACCTTCACCTGCAGCTCAACAAGTCTGTGTGCAACTTTTAGGCAAAATGATGGCGAAACCAAAATGCAGCGGCTGCAGTTTGACTCCAGTCTTTGAACTGTGCTGACACGTTCGGATCAATGAGCAGCTTCAGAGACTCTGTGTGCCGTGGTGAATACTAAGACTAAAGGATATTGCTACTTTCATAGAAAACTCCAGTGATTAGAACAGTTAGGCCCTGCAGCTCCTTAATGTTGCACCAAAGTGCAAATTCCTTGATAACATTTTGAGATCACTTCAAATCTCAACTATCAAGCAGGCTAAAAACAAGCAGGTGACAATTAAAATAAAATAAAAAATCACTGCAAACAGTTCCCACAGTCCAGCAGAACCCGGCACCAACAGAACCGGCACAGATCTACCTGATCCTGTCAGCGAGTTACCCTGTTGTCACATCCAAAGAAGAAGAAACGTTTGTGTGAGCCACTTCCTCTCCCCGTGGCAGCAGACAGGAAGCAAAGAAATTAAAAAACCAAAGAGGAAGTAAACAAGTTTTTCTTTTTTTAAAAGAAAATCCAGTCAGTGTGCGTTTAAAGAAACCCCCGTCCAACCCGCCCTTTGATATGTGGTTGAGTTTTTAGAGCTTCTACAAAATTTGAAGAAGAAGAAAAAAAGAAGTTTTCTTGTCCAGGTAGTTGCTTTTGTGTTGCTGTTTCTTGTCTTGTCCTCTCTTTAGTGCCTTTTGAAGAGACAGACCTGAATCCCTCACTGAGGAACAAAGGAATGATTCCACTCCGGATGCAGCAGGAGGAGTCAGACACAGCACACGTCCGCTGACTTTGACCCGAACGGGCCTGGCCTAGCGCCGCTCCACTGAAGTTCTGCTTGTTGTGTTTGTGACCTGACCAAGAAGGTCCGATTATTTGGCTCATCACACCTGGACACCTGTACCGTGGAGATGCAGCATCTGGGCTCTCATAGTCTGTATGCTGTTCATGATCTTCTTCTGGTGGCCCACTAGTGAGATTCCCAAACTCATCACATCCCTGCAAGACAGGAGAGAACAGACCTGTTAAACAGACTGGATCAGTCTACAACACACTGAATGAGTCTACAACAGACTGAATGAGTCTACAACAGACTGAATGAGTCTACAACAGACTGAATGAGTCTACAACACACTGAATGAGTCTACAACACACTGAATGAGTCTACAACACACTGAATGAGTCTACAACACACTGAATGAGTCTACAACACACTGAATGAGTCTA